TTTGGGAGAGGCTTGATAGATGTATTGTGAATACGGATGCCATTCAAAAGCTTCCTACTGCTGTTATAAATCATCTCGCAAGAGTGGCCTCGGATCACAGCCCTATTGCTTTCAAAATGGATGATAAGGTTCCTAGCAAACCTAAAGTCATTAGATTTGAGGACACTTGGAGATCTTATCCTGCTGCTAGAAGTATCGTGTATCATACTTGGAAGAAAAATGATTTTTTTGATGAAGGAATGGTGCTTCAAAGGAAGATTTCTAGAACGTTGAAAGCCTTATTCTATTGGAGTAAAAACACGTGTAAAAACTTGAATTTACTTAAAAATGTTCTTAAAAAGGAGATATTGGATCTTCAGCATAAAGAAGCTATGGGAATTGATTGGTCTGATCAAGATCTTATTATACTTAGGAGCAAAATTCATGCTCTTAATGTTACTTTGAAGAGACTATCAACTTGGTGGAATCAACGAGCAAAAGCTAGATGGCAACAGGAAGGAGATGAAAATTCAAGAATGTTCCACAATTTTGCTACTTCAAGAAGAAATAGTAATAGAGTTAATCAAATCAAAGATATTCATAACAAGCTTCAAGTGGATGATGATGAAATTGAGAAGGTCTTCATTGATTATTTTGAATCTAAATGGAAATCCAGAAATTGCAAGCTTGAAGGTTGGCCCAAAATAAGTGAAAACCAAAAGCTGTCAGCTGATGATATTGGAGATCTCAGTGCAGAATTCTTGGTCAATGAACTTCAGCACTCAGTTTTTCAACAAGGTAACAATAAATCTCCAGGTATGGATGGTCTCACATCTTCTTTTTACAAATGCTATTGAGAAATTGTATGGAAAGAGCTTTGGAATGCCATTAACCATTTTCTAATTTTTGTGGACACATGAGGGAGGATTGGAAAGATACTTTAATTGTATTGATTGCTAAGGTGAAGAACCCTTTACTTCCTTCCAACTATAGGCCAATTAGTCTCTTTCAGACCAATTACAAGATTGCAGCTACTATGATAGTTAACATGCTGAAGAGAATTATCCCCAAGATGATTACTGAAGAACAAGTAGCCTTCATCCCAGGCAGATCTATCTCTGAACATTGCCTT